CGTGGAAGTTAAGGATATCATAACTCCCAAGGGAGTTAAGGCTTTCCATAACTCCCGCTTTTACCTTGAATAGGTGAAACTGACAAAAAATAGAAATTTTGGTTTATGGTTTATTTCTTTATAAAAATGGACAAAATACAGTTAATTCAGTAGGAAATAAAATTATCTATGTACCACGGGAATTATCAGGTGTTAATCCCCACGGGCAATTGGCAAACTTTGCCCTGGAATATTAACACCCTCATAATTCCCTTGATACATAATAGTTATTTATGTATCAAGGGAATTATTTGGGTGTTAATACCCCAGGGCAACGTTTGTCTCCCGAGGGCCTCTGGCCCGAGGGACACCAATTGCCCGTGGGTATTAACACCTGATAATTCCTGTGGTACATAGATAACTTTATATCCTACTGAATTTACTGTATTCTGTCTATTTTTATAAAGGAATAAACCATAAATCAAAATTTTTATTTTTTTTCAAAGTTTTACCTATTCAAGGTAAAAGCGGGATTTATGGAAATCCTTAACTCCCTTGGGAGTTAAGATCCTGTTTATGATTATCGTAACCAAGGTATTATATGATTTTAATAGTTCAGTTGGATATAAATAACTATTTCCTTTGTCAATTGTAATAACTTAAATACGTAATATGTATATTATTATTATTTTATCTCCTGGTGATCTTTTGGTTGATTTTTATTTTGAAGAAAGTCTACGTGAACATGGGTATGGTGAGCTTCATTGCAGATTTGGCATCGATCAGTGGAGGTGTCATCATGATTGCGACAATAGACCGATCTCCTATTACCTGGACTGCGCGCGTCGCTTGTAGGCTGCAGGTGAGCGTCCAATGAGAAGCAAGTTTGTGACAGGCTTGCGTCATATTCTTATTCAGGAGCCAGTTCAGAATGAATCGTTCCTTCTTTCATTGTAACGTGTAATTTGACAAAGAGCAAATTAATACTTTACATATTACTTGAACTCACCGCAGTTTCGTTTAAGGTTATGTTAGATTATACTTGACATATTCCTTTGCAATTTCATTGAGCGATGTTGCCGGATGAAACATTTATCAAAATAAAATTGCAAACGATATTCATCCATTTTAAAGCTCTTCTTTAGTCTGATTTAAGGCGTTGTAAAACTCTTGACACTATATCACTTCTTACTTCTTTAATGTTACCTATAATGTTCGATTTGTATTGTCTACATATTTGTTCTGCAACATTACAATCTGGCTACACTGCATCCTACGAGTTGCGCGCGCATGTCATCTTTTATTGCTTCCTGATTTGTATTTATTACAATTAAGCTCTCTTTTTCTAATCAGATAGGTCTATTGTTACACAGTTTCTTCTCCTTAACTGTGCTCAAGCGTGCAGAGGGAGATAAGGCTTGAAACATGGTACAGTTATATATTGGGTGGTATGAATAAAAACGTAGTACTTGCTACTGCTAGTAGTATTAGTATGTTCTACGTAGTATTTACGTCAAAGCGAAGTAGATACTTCATTTTTAAACAACCGAGATGTAGTATCTACTTCGTTTTGGAGTAAATACTACGTAGAACATACTAATACTTGTAGTAGTAGCAAGTACTTCGTTTTTATTCATACCACCCATTGTATGCAATGCAATGCGAACAATATTTGCATCTAGCATCAGTACTTTTGTTGGGTTTAACTGGTAAAATCTTCAGAGAATCTGAGATGGCTTCTAGTGATTGAAATCTTGCCTGTAGAAATCTTTTCGATTAAATCTTGTAATTTATGGGGCTCTTCTAGTGATTGTTTGTATAGTTTGTTTCGGAATCCCATTTCCGAGGTACTATTCGCCTTATTATTGGACTCCATGACGCTGTGTCAATCTTGAAGTTTTTTAGATGTTTCAAACATTCGATGATGGTGTCATGCAGCTCTTTTATTTTTGATGCTGATTCCTGCTGAATCGCAGGAATATCCAAGATTCTGTCTATTAATTTTGAGATTATAAGTCTTTCGTTGCTGTACCGATCACTCAAGATTTGCCATGCTGTCTGATAGTTAATGTGTGAAATTTGGAGATGCTGTATGAGTCTGCTGGCTTCGCCTCGAATATGGTTTTTGAGGTACTGCATCTTCTCAATCTCCGTCAGATTTTTGTTTTCATGGACCACCTTCCTGAAAATGTCTCGGAAAGTTACCCATTCTTCATACTGACCATCGCAAAACGGTAACTATATCTAAGGAAGACTGATATTGCATAATTTTAGTGCTTGAGTCGGGATATATAATGTTTCCAGAACATCTTCATATTTGAGCTCGATTTATTCATAGGGATTCTCAATTGTTTTAGAATGGCCCTGAACTTGTAGCTCAATGTATATCTCGGAGATGGTCTCCCAATGCTTCGAAATTTTGTTGTATTGATTGATTTCTCCACCTGCAAATCATTGATGATTTTGTCTAGAATCTGGCTAAGTTGATTGATTCAAACTTCTTCTTCCTTCAGTCGGTTTGGCGGAGCTTGCAGCGCTTAGTTTGAGGATGACGCTAAGTGTTGCTCCTTCTTACCAATAATGTACCTACGCTATGGCATCATTATAGATTTTGGTAAGCTATTCCATGTAGGTAGGTACTTATTGGTGTAGTATACATGAGAGTGACACTCTTGTTTACCAATTTCCACATGATTTTTCTCGATCTCTTCCCAGACTGACTCGAGCACATTTATTTTGTCTTGATAATATTGCTCGGTTTTTCTGCTTGTAGAGTCTTTCCTAAAATTGGCTAGCTGGTGTTGAATTTCCTTTCCTAATATTTCTTGGGATTTGGCCAATATGTTGATAGTGTTCATTAGTATAATTGTATAGTGTTATCTTTGTGTAGTGTTTGTGCTTAGATCGGTGTCTAAGTGTTAACCCCGAAGGGCGCAAAAGTTTGCGATTGTCATGAATTGGTGTAAAAATGTTAAGGTTGAAAGTGTATTGAGAAAAATTAGGGAATTAAAAGGATAACTGAAAAGAACGACTCCCACCCAAGGTATCTTTGGGCACCGCGCAGTCTTGAGAGAATCCTAATCAGTCGGGATGCTGAAACCAGACAGGGTCCTTATTCTTAAAACAGGGGAGCAGCGTTCCCAGGAGAACGAGTGTTCCGTCTTTGTTACTTATATTGTCATTTGAATATCATTGGGAAAGACGGAACACTCGTTCTCCTGGGAACGCTGCTCCCCTGTTTCAAGAATGAGGACCCAGGGCACTTGCTACAACAGGGAGGAAATGAATAATCAGACAAAGCACTTGTTATACAAGGAGGTTGGTTTTAGTATGTAGAGCTATCGCCAGACAAGGCACTTGCGATAGGGTGTGTATGTGTAGATGTGTGTGTGTTTGTGTGAATATGTCTTCACGGCTCGACCGACCAAATGTACAATCGTTCCCTTGATGTGAGAATTCTTATAACTAGAAAAGGCGGCAGAGAATGACTGATCACACTCTGAGCACCTAATTCTTCAATCTTATTTATTGTCGAATACTTGTGGGTGCGTAGTAACACTATGTGTTAAGCAGTTAACTGTGGGTGTGAATGAGTACAAAACGACTGATGGTTTAATACTAATTTATTTAAGGAACGGTAACACTATTTATACACAAATAAATGCATTATTCACAAAGGTGATTAATTAATAATTTAACAAAGTGCTGACTTATATGTTTTACTGACCCACTGTTCGTAATGTTAATGACTTTAAAAATGCTTGGCTAGCTTGGTAAATAGAAAATAATTAATATACTTATTATAAGAGAATTAGTTTATATTTGGAAGAAAATATGGCTAATTTGTAATTATTAGACAACCACATTTTTTTCAATCGGACAAAAATTAGACAAGTTACGGGCAAATAAAATCCAGCGCGACCATTTTGGGTAACACTATTTCTAAGAATAGGATTTCTAAATAAATACGCATGCTTGGCCACCCTGTATAGTATATTAGGCTTATCTAGGCTATTTATATTTGCGAAATCGAAAACAAAAATCCCGATATTATGTAGCTTGCAGGGCGCGCTAACATCGATAATTGAAAGACTTGTTTTATGATTTTCGGACCCACATTACTGTGTCACCCTGTATAGTTAGATATTTGGTTCAATGATGAAAAATGCTTATATTTTTGCTAGTATTACAACATACCAAATTTTTGAAAAAATCCATGGGTCTCCGAAAACCCATAAGATGTGTGCGATGTCCTTTATCGTTCTATAAATTCTATTGCGGTCGGTGGATAACTGGCCGACCAATAGGATTACAGATTGCGTTTTTATCCGTCAGATTGCATACCTGACAGTTTATCAGAAGGTGAATAAACCTGCCCTTAGAGTTTTGTTATCTTTTGGTATTGTCTAACTCAGTTTTTTGACTTGATTTTTTTCAGAAATTTCAGTAAAGTTGAAAATTACTTTCTGCGATTTGTTCCAAAACCGATTGGCGTAGGTATTTATTAACTTGGAACGCCTTGGGTTAATACACACATTGCACGTGCACGACATTATTTTTTTAGACGAAACAACCTTAAACCATACCCATACAAAACTTTCAAATCTCTAGACTCTAGAAGTCAAAACTTTGAAATGGAAGCGAAATATTTTTTTTTTTGCCCACTTTGAATGGGTGTATTTTGCAATCCTTAATGAAGGTATGTTGAGTTAGTCTGGGTTAGAGGGCCAAGGGCTGATCCTAATTTTTCAGATGCCATACTCTGAGATTAGACATGCCCTCCCAGAACGATCCTGAGAAAATGTCAATATGGAATGTTATTTGCCAGATTGTCTACTGGGTCATAATTTTACAAGTAAGTGTTCACAATAGTTAAATTTTTTGTATACCTTCCATTCCTATGCAGTGTAAGGAGGTACCTACTACCTACCTACATATTTTTAAAAATTGTAAGTAATATGTTTTTCTCAAACAGATAAGTTATTGTGACTATTAGGTAGAGATCTACAAAAATTACTAACCGACAATTTTGTATCCTGAACCAGCCTCCATATGAAAAGCAAACAGCCCCTGCCTCATTCTCCTCACACCTTCCTCAATATGCATAAAATTTGGTTTTTTTCCAGGCGGTACCACTTTTTTCTCATATAAAGCTTTTCTGATCGGCTCATCTGCAGTCTTACGAATTTTATTAGAAAAAAATAATATAGGTAGGTACTCAATTAAAATTTACCTTAAAGTAGAAATGATTATATACTGTATCGTCCACTCCGACAGGAATTCTCGAATTTAATAGATCTTTAAGTGTTTTAATACTTGTTGAGGAGGTTTGGAGTAAAGCCACTATATTAGCTGAGTAGGACACATACAAGAACATCAGGGATAAAAATAAAAATAATGTAGCTATTCGTCCTGGAGTACTGAAATAAAATTACTATTATTTTTATCCGACAATTGGCTATGATCTATTACTGTTTTCAATAAGTATTAAATGGGTTATATTACCGGATTACGATGTATTTATTTAGTTTATTACCACAGTAGAGATGCTTATACCCTACCTACTTGTAAAGTAGAGTGAATAAAATCAAACCTGTGTGGTAAAGCTGAAGCTCCTTGCTGACAAACCGCCCCGATAGTAATAAAAGTCACATCAGGCCGAAACTCTTCGATTTCAGTTTCCTGAGAACTTCGAAAATAAATTTTCGTGATCTCCCATTTCATGATCAAAAAAAGTGAAGCCATCATCAGAATTACCAAAGCGATAACCGAAATCCAAACTTGAGTATCGAATGGCAAAGTGTACACGTTAGTGACATACGAGAGCTTTGGTTGTCGAAAAACAAAATATGATCTTGTTGGTGAGATCATTGCAATGTAGTCGATTAAATCCACTCGTTCTTTTGTGATGAAGAGAGACGTACCTGAAAAAATTGAGGAAAAATAAAATATCTACCTACGCATTTAGAGTGCTAGGTCTTGCCTCCAATATCAGCCTCTTTCCTTACAAGTTTTCCCATCATACCAGTCCATTCCGAATCATTTACTTTATAGCCCCATGAATCGCTTACTGAAATGTCTAATGAAATATTGTATATGGAGGCTAGTAATAGCAACAAGACATAATTTACTTTTCCTATACTGTCGATATGCTTGTCTCTTCTGTCAGTGAGATGTTTGTAGGAATTATTATTAGTTAAAACAATATCTGTTTTCAGAGTAACTTCAAGATTTTTTCTTTTTTTGGATATTTTTTGAGTTTTTATAAATCCTTTGGTTTTGTTCCATATGCCATAATCTTCAATTTCAAATTTTGGTTCGTCGGCATGCTTTTTGAAGATTTTTGTGAAAATAACGTCTCCATTAGACTGCTTTTCAGCTAGATTGAAATCACTGTCCACCATTATTGCTAGATTTTCAAATATTTCTTCTAGTATTTGATTTGACTTGTAAGTCACTATCCAATGAAATGGAGATACAAACATGTTTTTCTTATTTGCCTAGTAATAATTATGTAATTTGGAATTATGGAATATTTCCACTGATTGATGCAGCCAATGACATACAATGGAAATTTTGTTTTCATTGAATGCCTTCGAATTAATCTAAACCAGCGCTCAATTACCAAAATATGAAAGCGTCACTCAATTTTTTTTATTATACCTACCTCTTGGACCGTCTAATAAAATATCCAGAGTCTACCTGGATACCAACCTGGAACTGTGCTGATAATACGTTGTTTTTCTACTGACGTTTCATAATACGCCTAAAATCTGTTTCATAATGAACTTCATTATGATAAAGATTTTTAAGCCAATGGAATCGAGTATTTTGAACATGAACAATGTTTATATAAAATAACAGACTTGCTTTGGAATTTTGGATTGTTTCTATCAGTATTTACCAGAAGAAACCACAAAAAATTTAAACCGGGGGCGGAATTAGGGAATCCAAACCACGTGACTTATGCCAACCAGCCGGCATTTTGAAATTTTTATGAGGTTAGAATACCGGTCAACGATGTCAGAAAAGTGTCAGATTTGAGTACTCACCCCGTGTATTGATAAAGCCTAGTACTCATAACCGCGAAATTCGCTCTTTTTTGACATTGCTTCGACAATTTGACGTTTGATTCATGCATAAATCGCTGTTATGAGTACTAGGCTTAATCCGGCCAAAAAAAAAACATATGTTTTTTGTTTATTGTTTGCCAACCAGACGCCATTTGGACAGGTCGTTGGATTGCCTAATTTATGCCCAAATGACGTCTAGGTCTTAATTTTTGAAATTGTCAAGTTGTCAATAATTGTCACCAGTTGAGAAGTTTACTATTCTTATAAAATAATAGTTATTTATTTACGACTAATGTATAATGTGCGTATTATATTTGTGAATTTGGCAGTATAATGACATATGTTATTCCTCCAGGGATTAATGACGAGTAGCGGGATTATTGGTCATTATTCCACAAAAGTGTCAGTGTCAAACGTGTAATGCTTGTGGATTTGTATTGAAAATTATGAGACGGATGAAATTTGTTCATTGAAAATCTCAAATAAATTAATTTGTCGTAAATAAAGTAGAGTATACTACTCGCAATAATGGCTATTATTCCCTCGGAATGTTACTCCCTCGCCGCTAACGCGGCTCAGTTCGTAATAATCCTCGGGAATAATAGCTATCATTATTGACTCGTGGTATAATCTACTATTATGTATCAAGGGAATTATGAGGGTGTTAATACCCCAGGGCAAAGTTTGTGTCCCGAGGGCCTTCGGCCCGAGTGACACCAATTGCCCGTGGGTATTAACACCTGATAATTCCCGTGGTACATAGATAATTTTATTTCTTACTGAATTTACTGTATTTTGTCCATTTTTATAAAGGAATAAACCATAAACCAAAATTTCTATTTTTTGTCAAAATTTCACCTATTCAAGGTAAAAGCGGGACTTATGGAAATCCTTAACTCCCTTGGGAGTTATGATATCCTTAACTCCCGTGCGGGAGTTATGAAATCCTTAACTTCCTTGGGAGTTAAGACCCTGTGTATGATTATCGTAACAAAGGTATTATATGGTTATAATAGTTCAGTAGGAAATAAATATGTTTTTCGTTTATTAATGCAAGTAGAAAAAATATTGTATGCAACTCTCATGTAATGGCCATTAATACACTCGCATGTTATATAAGAAACTCGCCTGCGGTTCGTTCCGTATACTACAACATGCTCGTGTATTAATGGCTATCATTATATGATCATTGCATAATATACTATTATTCATAGGACCAATCCAGGCTTTTCCTATGGGTCCTTCTGCATACCTTGTATATTTTCTTCTTCTAGTTTTCGAGCTGTGCATTTAGGTTCATGCTGGTAAAGTCCGACAAATACCATTTTAAAGTCACGTGATATTGGTGGCAAAAAAACGTATGTTCATTGATTATGTCGTTGACATCACCTACAAAAAGCTACTGGTGGTTAATTACTATTGAATTTTAAGATATGTTCCCACTAGCATTTTACGCGTTTATGAAGTAGTATTGACCAATCAGATGGGAATTTTAATACTTGCAATTGTTGCGAGACTCATTTTTGTCGCATCTGCTGTCCGTTGTAGTACATTCTGAACTTGAATTGGGTACCCCTTTTCTATTTGCTTCTTTTCGAGTTGGAAAAAGGCTAATATATTCAAAATTATTAGCTGTGTTTGTTCGTTTTATCATTTTCGAAAATAACTTTGACAAACTAATTGATGACAGTGGCGGATTCTATTTCAGGTAAGAATATTATGAACAATAATTAGACACCAATTTTTTTGTCAATTTTACTATCACCGCAGTTTGAGATGTATTCAACAAGGATAGAGAAAAATCACGTGACTTGAAAATGGTATTTGTTGGCCTTTATCATAGATTTTATTCTGGGTTCGAATTAATGATATCTACCACTTTATTACGAATACCTTAATTTTATTTCAAATTCAATTTTTTAAAAAATTATGATCACTAAATAATTTTGCTAAGCCACAATATAATACCTGCTCAATCTTAGCTAACCTTAGGTACTTATCTATAAACCACCCTTTATATACAGGGTGATTTACGTAGCCCGTGCATTAGCTTGCAGGAGGATTGAATGCTACTTCTACTAATCCACCTGCAAACTGGACAACTTCTAATGGACGGGTACGTAAATCACGGTGTATAACTAGAAATAATTCTATATAGAATGATTTATTTTTTTATTCATTTATTTATTTATTTATTATGAAGTTAATACGGGTTGAGCTAAAACCTATAAGCCCATTTTTGCACAGTTAAAATTAAGTCCGTGTATCAAGCTTGTTTTTTTTTTAGTAGCACAGCATGTAGTGTCGCTTGACTGGCCACGCTGTACATAACTATTGTAATCAACTGTCCAAAAACTGGCTTTAGTAAATTCAGAGAATTTTTTCGGCGCTGGCTCTCCGTCTATAGTCTATAGGTTCCAGTGAGTGAACACTTGGTTTGGCATACACCCGACATACAGCGCTATAGTTCGTTTTTAAGTTTAAGGTTGTGGCCTCTCAAACATTGGTTGGTATTCAGTAATATGCTCAATAGAGGGTATTTGGTTGAGAAGAGCTCGATAGATAAAAAATAGAACTCCTCTGGTTCTTCTATCGAAAACACTAATTAGTCCTTGTTGTATTAGCCTTTCTTAATAGGATGGTCTTCTCCTGCCAAGTTGTTTAACAGAAATAGTTTGCTGTTTGCTCGACTTCAAATGTCCGTGATATCGGGTGACTAGAAAAGATGGCTCCGGTTCAAAAGAGCGACATTTCAAATAGCGACATCAAAAAAGCGACATCTCAAAACAGCGACATATCAAAATAGCGATGTTCAAAACAGCGACATATCAAAACAGCGACATTCAAAACAGCGACATCTAAAAAAAAACAGCGACATATCAAAAAAGCGACATTCAAAAGCGCGATACTTTAAAAACAGCGACATATCAAAAGAGGGGGATTTAAAACGGCGACCTCTAAACAAAAGAGCGACACATCAAATTGAATCAATAATAATAAAGAAAATGCAGACTTACTCAAACTAACCCAAACTAACCCGTCCGCCTAGTGCGATCTAGTTCTCGTAAGTTAGCATTCTATTCGAAAAACAAAGTTAATTTATTAGAAAGATTTTTTCAGGTAATGACCAACGTGAGTACAGGGACACTACGGTCCCTGTTTGGGAATCGGCCCACTGAGCAGTGGACTCAGGCTTCCCGTGCCAATCCTTGACGCGTTTCGTCTTTGTTAGGACTCATCAGAAGGACATAGGCTGAAGCTCCCTGTCCAAGCAAAATTGAACTTCGTTGACCAGTCAGAAACAACTACTCCGAGGGCAAATACCCCTACCGGCGTTGAACTACACTGATTGGTCTGAGCTTTCGTTGGCAATGGAAATTGTTAGAAAGATTTTTTCAACGAAGTTCAATTTTGCTTGGACAGGGAGCTTCAGCCTATGTCCTTCTGATGAGTCCTAACAAGGACGAAACGCGTCAAGGATTGGCACGGGAAGCCTGAGTCCACTGCTCAGTGGGCCGATTCCCAAACAGGGACCGTAGTGTCCCTTTACTCACGTTGGTCATTACCTGAAAAAATCTTTCTAACAATTTCCATTGCCAACGAAAGCCCAGACCAATCAGTGTAGTTCAACGCCGGTAGGGGTATTTGCCCTCGGAGTAGTTGTTTCTGACTGGTCAACGAAGTTCAATTTTGCTTGGACAGGGAGCTTCAGCCTATGTCCTTCTGATGAGTCCTAACAAGGACGAAACGCGTCAAGGATTGGCACGGGAAGCCTGAGTCCACTGCTCAGTGGGCCGATTCCCAAACAGGGACCGTAGTGTCCCTGTACTCACGTTGGTCATTACCTGAAAAAATCTTTCTAACAATTTCCATTGCCAACGAAAGCTCAGACCAATCAGTGTAGTTCAACGCCGGTAGGGGTATTTGCCCTCGGAGTAGTTGTTCTGACTGGTCAACGAAGTTCAAAGTTAATTTAGTTATAGCGTAGGTTCTCTTGAGCACACGAATCAATATTAATCATGAAAAAGCAGACTAGGCGGACAGGTTAGTTTGGGTTAGTCTGCATTTTCATGATTAATATTTATTCGTGTGCTCAAGAGACGCTCAATATAACTAAATTATCTGAATTCTTCAAATAAAATGCTAACTTACGAGGACTAGATCGCACTAGGCGGACGGGTTAGTTTAAGCAAGTCTGCATTATCTTGATTATTATTGATTTATATTGATGATGTGTTGCTCTTTTGTTTAGATGTCGCTTTTTTGATATGTCGTTCTATCGATATGTCGCTGCTTTGCTTAGATGTTGCCGTTTAAAATGTGGCGCTTTTAATATGTCTCTTTTTTGATAGATTATATTAGATTGTGTTAGGGGCGTTTCGGTGATAGACCTCTCTGCACCTCTTTTGATAAGTCCTTGTTTTAAT